TCTCTCTCTCACACACACACACAGACAAACACACCCTCTCTCTGTCTCTCCCCCTCAGGCTTAGCTAACTCATGCTCGAAACGTGCGTTTGGACAGCTGGCTCCAGCCGCTTCTTGTGGCCCCTCCCCAGCCCGCTGGCTCCGAGTGAGGAGGCGCCTCCTTCCGCGCCCAATCACAAAGGCGTGTAAAGCGGAGCCGGAGCAGCAGAAGCGGGCGAGGGAGTGCGAGGTGGGGGGGGGGAGAGGCAGAGCAGGCGAAGCTTCACGAGGAGGACGGCGAGCCAGGCAGCTCAGGGGTATTCGGGGCACAGTCAGGCTCTCGGCGGTGGTCCAGGCAGCGCTGAGACGCATCCCCGTCAGATATTTCGATTGGGTTCAGGGTGGTGAGAGAGGTGGTTTAAGATTTCACAGCTTGCAGTCGCCTGGGCTCCTGCGCTCCCGCGTCCAAAGAAAGTAAACACAATGCAACAAAAGCTTGTGTAGATTTTAACCGCCCGACGGTTGCACCGAATAATGCGAGCTACAGCCCACGAGCCCTTGTACCAAACACACACACACACACACACGGATGCTTTCTTGGTGGGCCTCCAAAGCTCTTCCCCCACAATTCCAGAACTATCAGCTCAGGCTCGTAGGGGGCTGCACTTCAAGGAGCGCGCGCCCCAATTAAAACCTGTCCGCCCTTAAGGCGTCACGAGACCCTTTTTAGCGTCGATGAAGTCTCTGAACCTGCACCGCCCCGTGTCTGGTGGGTAGGACTTCCCCCGGGGGCAGATACCCTTCGGCTACTGCTGCGAACGTTGCCCTCTCCTCCAGTCCAAAAATGGTGTTTTGGGGGGAGGGGAATAATGATATTAAGGAAATGCTACCTCACACAAAAATGCCTTTAACACAGAAATTGGAACACATACTGTATCCAAATGAATAGAATATGTACATCCACCACTTATTGACTGGAGCTTGGGGAAAGCTTTCTTTTCATTAATTCAATGAATAGAATATGTACATCCACCACTTACTTATTGACTGGAGCTTTGGGGAAAGCTTTCTTTTCATTAATTGTCTTTCAGTGCCACCCTAAACTCGCGTTTTTCAAGACTAAATGTACAGTTCAGTGTTTATCATAAACAGATTATAGCCCTATATATGTTCTGAAAGGAGGGCAATTATTTTTTGGCGGGTGGGGGAGGGAGAACAATTACAGTGGGGTCTCTACTTAAGAACGTCCCTACTTAAGAACAATCCAACTTAAGAACAGCTCCATTTGCTAAATTTTGCTTCTACTTGAGAACAGAAATCCAAGATAAGAACAGGAAAAAAAACCTTTCCTGTTCTTTTTTTAACCTTAGGTCATCTTAGGTTAAAAAAAATTCTCCCCCTAGTGGTAGAGTACGTATTAACCAGCTTTGCATTACTTCCTATGGGAACTAATGCTTCAATGTACGAACGCACCTCTACGTAACAAAAAAACAGCCAGAACAGATTAATTGGTTTTCAGTCCATTCCTATGGGAAATTTTGCTTCAACTTAAGAACGTTTCAACTTAAGAACACCATTCCAAAACGGATTAAGTTCTTAAGCAGAGGTTCCACTGTAGTTTCTATGGACGGAAAAGAGCAGATATGGATTAAATGGTTTTCAATGCATTCCTATGGGAAATGCAGATTCAACATAAGAACTTTTCAACTTGAAAACCACCTTCCAATACGGATTAAGTTCTTAAGTAGAGACCCCACTGTATTAGATTCTAAGTAAAAGAAAGTGTTTATATATTCTAAATAGAACCAGTCAAACTGCTTTGGTTTCTATTTGTAGTACATATTAAACTGTATTTTCACCTTTTTCAGCATTAACAATAATAATAGGATTATGGCTGTTAATGGCTGGCTGGATAGCTCAGTGGTTTAGGTAGAGGTTGGGAGTTCAATTCCCCACAATGCATCTAGGGAGAGGAGCCAGCCTATGTGGCCTTGGGCAAGGTGCACAGTCCCATGATATACCCCAGAAGAAGGGAATAGTAAGCCACTTGCTTTTACAATATTAGTGGATGATACCTATGTTTTGCTAAAAACATATATACTAAAAAGTATATATGTGTGTTCTCTCTCTCTCTCTCTCTCTCTCATCCCCACAGAGGCAGTGGCTCTCCCACAGTCTTGTGTTCCAGATGATTTGGAGCTCGGCTTGGGATTCTGGTCTCGGGGAAATGCAGATTCAACATAAGAACTTTTCAACTTGAAAACCACCTTCCAATACGGATTAAGTTCTTAAGTAGAGACCCCACTGTATTAGATTCTAAGTAAAAGAAAGTGTTTATATATTCTAAATAGAACCAGTCAAACTGCTTTGGTTTCTATTTGTAGTACATATTAAACTGTATTTTCACCTTTTTCAGCATTAACAATAATAATAGGATTATGGCTGTTAATGGCTGGCTGGATAGCTCAGTGGTTTAGGTAGAGGTTGGGAGTTCAATTCCCCACAATGCATCTAGGGAGAGGAGCCAGCCTATGTGGCCTTGGGCAAGGTGCACAGTCCCATGATATACCCCAGAAGAAGGGAATAGTAAGCCACTTGCTTTTACAATATTAGTGGATGATACCTATGTTTTGCTAAAAACATATATACTAAAAAGTATATATGTGTGTTCTCTCTCTCTCTCTCTCTCTCTCATCCTCACAGAGGGAGTGGCTCTCCCACAGTCATGTATTCCAGATGATTTTGAGCTCGGCTTGGGATTCTGGTCTCAGTTATAAAGTAAACTTGGTGACCAAATATTTGAGCAATAGATGGGAAAATATTCCATTTTAGATTTGTCTATGGATGTGTCTTGGACTTTGTGTGTATCCCCAATTCTTGCTATGTCAACTGATCTGAAAGTACAATTATCATATGTGGTTGTAACTTAACCCACCATTTTAGAAATAACAGCTTCAGATGTATTTTTACCTTGTATTCAGGAATGTAGGAGAGGACTTTAGTTCCTTGGATAATATTCTCACAATCTGACCAGACTGCAGGAAGAATGATGTCAGTGGCTTCTCCCAACCCCACAGACAATGTTTGACTGTTCCTTATATTAAGTTTGCTAGATGATTGCTTACTTGCACATTGTTTTTAGCAGAGTAGTTAGTGAACTCTTAACTGCAGAATCTTAGAAGACTAGGCTATTCAGGATTTAAGAGGAATGCTGTGTGATGATTTTACATAATCAAATACTGTCAGCATTCTACGGAGTTAAGTTAGCCTAACTTGTTACACTTGGATTTTTAATATAAATAGCATACATGCACATTGTGATCACCAAACTGTGTTGGTAGTATCAAAAGAAAAGAAGCTTTGATTGAAATTATTTTATAGGAGACTTAAGCATGTACTTAGTCTTTCTCTCTCCCTCAAACTATGTAAACCTCTCCTCACTTATATGTGTAATGGACTTCCTCCTGGGCCAGCCAAGCTCTGATGCAGGTGGGCTACTGCCTTTTCTTTGCCTCACTTGGAAATATTCATCCTTAAGGCATCTGGAATAGAGACAGTTCTCAGGAAAAGCAGAAGCAGAGCTGTATGAGGGACCCAGCAGAAGAACAAGTTGCTTGGTACTCCAGATTAGGTGAGCGTGCTGAAAATTAATTCTGTTGATAGATCCCTGAGTGCTTTGTTGTAGGACAGGAAGGAATTCCACCTCCCTGTTGTTATAAGAATAAAAGCAACAGAATGATTCTGCTCCCACCTTCCCTAAACTATATCACTGAAATGAAGAAAGCATTAATTAAGCAGGAGTAGATCATAGGTGGACATGAAGCTACTGTTAAGAAAAAAATATGGAGAGACAGAATGGTTTCCTATAGGCAATAGTGTTAAACAAGGGTGCATTTTATCCCTTTATCTGTTCAGTTTGTATACAGAACATATCATATAGAAAGCCATAATAGATTCAGGTGAAGGAGGAGTGAACATTGGCAGAAGAAACATCAATAATTTAAGGTATGCAGATGGCACTATCTTACGAAAGCGGCAATGACTTAAAAGGACTTTTAAGTGAAAAAAGAACATGTTAAAACAGGGCTGCAGCTGACAATAAAGAAGACCAAAAGCATGCTGACAAAAGAACTACACAACTGTAACACTGAAGAAATTGAAATAGAGATTTTGTTACCTTGGTTCAATCATCAATCCAAAGGGAGAGCGCAGCCAAGAAACCAGAAGAAGACTGAGACTTGAAAGAGCAGCAAAGAAGGGACTAGAAAAGATAATAAAGTGTGAGGATGTGTCACCAGAGATGAAGACCAAGTTAACCCACACTCTTGTATTTCTAATCACCATGTATGGGTTTAAAAGCGGGCAGTAAAGACAAAGTGGGTCTTAAATGCCAAAAAGACAAGTGCCAAAAAAGAAAAAACAAGTGGGT